AACTCTTTGGCGAAAGTTGAGATTAAAGTTTCGATTTTCGCTAACGCATGAAACCACTAAGTTACGCTTAACAACTATAGTTCAAGTAGTAAAAATTTTCATTCAATAATAAGTTATTAATCAGTCTATTAATTGGTTTATTAGATAATTTATTCATCGTTATAATTTTTTTAATGGGTGCCCGACATTGCTTAAACTTAGAAAAGTTCTCCCATTTCACTCCTCTTTGTTCCAACTCATTGAGCAGCTCATGAAAGCTATTTTTATTTAGTAAAAAAAAATATATAAGGAATTTCACAAAGGAAAAATGTTGATAAAATACAAACCTTCATTACAATACATTTTCAGATCTTACAGGAAAAATTTTAATCGTTTAAAATAATTTCAAGAATATTAATTTACAATAAATTTAGTACGTATGTATTTTTTCAATGGGAAATTTGCATAAAAAGGATATTTTGTGATTCGGCTATTCTTTAATAAATTAAGGTTTAAAAAAAATTGGTCGAAACTATAATTTCGCTTACAATTTATTAATTAACTCTAAATATATATGCTGTATTAAGTAGAAAATTGAATTTCTTTATCAAGTTTCTTAAGAATTTTTTTGCAACTTATATCGATTTAAAATCCACAAAAATATGATTTTTGCATAAATTATTTATATTCAATGTAAACAAGTCATGGCCAATCAGTTAATAACTTTGCTAAAGACTTACAGCACTGATTTTAGCATTCAGAAGCCTTGCCAACGAAATCTTCTATACAACTGAATTTATCACATTATGAAATGTATTTGATTGGTTATAAGTCAGATCATGTGAACATCGTTTCGGCATCTCTAATTAAAATCATACGTAATTATTTTTGAGGGACCAACATGAGGTTTTCACAATGATCACATGTTTGAATCTTTTATGAATGGACTACAGGCTACAGTCAAAATTAGAATATGGAAGGCGATAATTCAAAATTGTACTTAATGTAACAAACCGTATCGGTATGAGGTTGTAATATGTAATACAAAGTTAGGCGCCGGATAACATTAATACTACATATAAAATGCGCAATGGAGATAACGGAGATAGATTTATTACTTCTTCAGAAGGATCCAGTAGTAGAATTTATATACGCACGTATATGTCAGGTAATAAAATGTCATTGGATCAATTAACCTTCTTAGAGTTAAATAAAATTTTTGCTTTCTTCCTAACATAATGATGCTAATACGTAACGTGAACCTTAAACTTTCTCAAAAATGTAACATTGCATTGCATGGTATTTCAAAATACATTACTATTTAAGACATAGATGTAACGATTTAAACCTGTTTTTTAACACAATTTCATACAAAGTAATACTGTAATGCGTATTAAAACTCCAATAAATGATAATAATTGAAAAAGTCTTATCCTAAATCTTAATTGTTTATTATTGACTACGAGGTTCATATCGAAAATCCATTCAATGTTTATATTAATATGTATGCTAAATATAATATAAAGATTTGATATAAACTTTTATTTTACAGTTAAAGTTAGTTGAAATTTTGTACATTCGTGCGCACAAATACATACGTCCCAGTTAACTATAATAATGGCTACAAATTCCACTATCAAAGGTGCTGCAGACATATTATCTCTTTATTTTCCTATAATTGGTGCAGTGAAATTTTTAGTTGGTGAAATTTATCAAATTTATGAGAATGCAGAATGTAATAAAGAACTTTGTGTGATTATGGTTGATAGAGTAAAAACCGCAGAATGTTCAATGGATAAAATTGTAAGAAGTATAGAAACTAATAAAGAAGATTTTCATAAAAAATCTTATTATTTAGCTTTTGAAAAATTTAAAAATATTTTGATACAAATTAGAGATTTTACTAAAAGTGTATCAAAACTTAAAGGTTATAAAAAATTTCTTAATGCAACTGACGTTAGAAATAAATATGATCATTTAACTAAAGAATTTGATAAATGTATGGAGGAATTACACTTTGCTATCGATGTTTCTAATGCAATTGATAGAAAAAAAGAAGCTGAAAGAGTTGATAAAGCTTTGAAAGAAGTTGAACAAGTAGGCATAATTATCATGAGATATCATATGTAATACTACAGCATAATATTTTTTTTAAAAATTTTTTTTAATCAATTTTAGACGCTCAAAAATCTTGGTGATAAAGTTGATACAATAGCAGAAGATGTAGGCTTCATTAAAGCTCAAATAACTAAACAAGGTGACGTTCATGCTAAAAAAATTGAACCAAATGAATTACGTGACCCTTTAGTTCAAGCAACGAATGGCAGCGTAATTAAAAAGATTTATAAATCATCAATCGAAGTTGCATGTAAACCTATAAGAGGCCAAAATGAAAATGAATTAGCAATTCTTGGTAAATTAGGTTTATCACCTCACATTCTCTATTTTTATGGTCATTCATGCATTAATAACAATAATGTTATGATTTCTGAATGGGCTGAGCGTGGAAATTTAAGAGAACTTTATGATCATTTTGATATTCCTTGGACTAGGAAAATACAAATTGCCAAAGATATATTTCAAGGCATTACATTTTTGCGTACAGTGAATATTTTCCATCATGATGTTAGATGTGAAAACGTTTTCGTAAGTATAGTAAAATAAAATATTTATATAACTATTATGATAATATCTGTAATATAATGTAGTAATGACACTTATTTTTATTAATGATAAATTATAGGTATTACGTGACTTGAACGTAAAACTAGGAAATTTCAAATGTGCACGTGAAGTAAATGGAGTTTCTACAAATCTTTCAAGTTTAGTAACAAATATTATTCGCTGGATGGCTCCTGAACTAATAG